TGAACATGACGCGTTAGTTGTTTTTTGTGAAAAGCCAAAAAATCAATTTGTGAAACCTCATAAGCAAAACACGATCACATATTCTCATTAGACTATCATATGTTGGCCCAGAAAACACGAAAATAGCAGCCTACTTCATTCAAAGTCAGTCATACGCATTTTTCGGAAATTTTGTATTTTTTATGATCGCATTTTTCGAAAATGCGACCATTTAAACATCGGAATCCGTATCTGACTCTTCCTACTATCTATAAATACCCTTTGTAACTTCCAGATTAAGTCAAACTACTACAAAGCCATTCCATTTAAATTCTTGACGATTTTCGGCGAATGTGACATTTACTAGCAATTTACAAAGATCTTAAGATTGTGACTCGACCATTTACTTTTGTTTTTATCATTTTTAGTTTACAGTCTTGCTATTACTATTTAGATAATGTTTTTAGCAATGTCTTGCTAAAATACTAGTTTTTAGTTTTGTACATACTTCACTTTTTATGCAATTAATATAAAATTTGATTTTTAATTTGTGTTTCTATCTAATTGTTTCACTTTTGTGCTTCATAAAGGTTTGATTTTTAATTCTTTTTAGACCGTTCACCTAATTAGGATTAAATCATTCTAGTTAATCGACTGTTAAAATCTATAATTGTGTGATCATCTGGGAATAAGTAACAAGTATCATATTGGTTCCGCGTTGGGATTTAATTTTGATATAAACTGAAAATCACATATTTTTACACTTTCAAGCTTGTGAGAAGTATTGAATATTGTTGGAAATTTATACACATATCATAATGTTGATTTGTTGATTTAATTAAGAGCTTATTTAACAAAGTTAGTAAAAAATTAGGATTAAATGAAGAACTTATTTTGGTTAATTATATTCATAAAGAGAATTTAACAGAGCTTATTAGTAGTTTTAGTATTAGCTTAGATAGAACACATTTTAAATAACTAGATCTTGATTAACTTGATAATTAGGAGAGTCACAATAGAACAGAAACACTTTTTTATTACTAAATTTTATTTATTTTATTTCATTTCAATTTTTTGTATTAATTAATAAATAAAACCCCATTTATGTATTTTCGTACTTGACTATTATGTGTCTTACACGAAGAAGCATTAACTTTTACATTGTGTCCATGTGGATTCGACATTGCTTCCCTTTGTTATCCTCTTGTGCATTCAAACAATGATTTTATTTGTTTAAGCGTAAACAACACGTTTAAACCCCATCAATGCTCACATTCATAACATTTTTTATGGTGTTGGAACATTGTACTTTTTATTTCTATTTTACACATCAGTGCTCAAATTTCTAAACAAATTTGGATCTTTGGGGAAAATGATGGAGAAATCATAAGGTTGAATCAAAGGGGGTTATTCGAGCCTTTTATGTGGTTGGTGAAGGCATTAACATTACAAGGTCTACGAGCCATATGAGGAGCTTATGGGGGTGGGATTTCAAACCTTCATATCAAGGTGGACATATATGAGATTATCTTTAACAACCTATTCGTCAATAATGTTAGGACAATAGGCCAACAAAGACGAGTCTAGTGTTGGCAGCTGGTGGGTGATGGGTGTTATTTTTTCTCGTCCCTAAGAAATTCACTCGATATAGCCTTTGTGGAGACTATTTGGGATAATTTAGTTCCTATAAAAGTTAACATGTTATTTGGAGAATCATAATTGGTCAACTTCCAACTAGGATCAATTTGCCCAGAAAAGGGGTTAATATTAGAGGTAATCTTTATCCCAAATACAAAATTATAAAGGAAACGTCTCTCTTCCTTGTATATTCATCTGGTAAAGAAGTTAGAATTAAGATTCATGATGGCTGGTGGAAGTAGTTTCTTATTAGTGTCATCTATCGAATCGAGTGGTACGATGGAACTACTCACATGAGGATGCAAAAAATAGTTAAAGTGATGTTGGTGATCATTAGCAAGGTGTACTTGTGGTTTCTTTAGAATCGCAAAAATCACATTGTCTTTGAAAACAACCCGACTTGTATTAATACTCTTGGTGTAGATGTGAAAACTATTTCTTTTATTCGTTTACACTACAAAAAAATCGGTGCAATAGGAGTGACAAAAGTCATCACTAATGAGGTGACATATCATCGCTATTGCCTCTAGCGGTGACATGTCGCCGCTAATGAGTCGTCGTTATTTCCCCGTTGCTAATGCTCTTTTATCGCCACTATGTCTCTATTTCAACGTTATTGGTTATTGCCATGGATGTTGAAGCTATGGCACCTTCTAATCACGTTTGTTTGATTCTAAACTCTATAGATTTGAGCTTCTCATCCACTATTATTATGTTATAAGATGCCTTTATGTAAACCATGTAGATATTTTAGATGTATCATCATCAAAATAATATGTTTCAGTTTGGTAATTTGTTAAAAACATCATTATTAAACTACTTTGATTCAAATTTATCATCCTCATCAAGAATCAAAGAACTAGAAGCAATGCTCTTTTTAGATTTTTAGAATATAGTTTCTTTTGACCATGTTCCTTTCCCATATTGTCCCCCATAAAAAAGATGGCATTATCTTCTTGCCCCCACCAAAAAAAAGCATCAACGCCTTCTTGCTCCTTAGATTCTAACTGGAAACCACTTGCTCGCAACATTGTGGCTTCACGTCGATCTTCATATCCTTATATGCTAGCATTTAATTTATATTTTTACCGATGTGTCGTCTTCCTTTATGACACGGCCTTCCTTGATACGCATTGCGTGTCGTAACAGCGCATCGTAAATGCGCGTCGTCTATAGACGACGCGCAAAAGCGTGTCGTCTCTCGTTATGACAGGGTCTTCCTTGACACGCATTTGCGGGTCGTCTAAGCGTTTTACGACACGCATTGCGCGTCGTAAAAGGTTGTTTTTCTAGTAGTGCGGAAACCTGCTACTGGTTTTGTTCGAGGAAGAATATGGAAACCCGCTAAACATTTCATTAGATATTGTTTTGATTATGAACTCTAGTTTGTTTTGTATTAAACATCTAAAAGTTTCAAATGACATTGTATTTGGTAAACGGTCGATAATTTAAGATATTTTAAATCTTTGGATATACATATGTGAAATGTTTTAGATTTAAATTTACAGTTTTTGTTTTATTGTATAAAAAAATTTTATTGTATATAAAAATCCTGAAAAATTAAACAAATCACAGGGGCATAAATTAAACAAATGATAGGGGCATGGCTAAAATCTGTAAAATATGTGTAGAACCTATAGGGACGACTTATTGTCTCTATAGGGATATGTATGGCGACAAGAAGTCGTTGCTATAGGTTTACCTACATCGACAACAAGTCGTCGCTATAGGGTTGGCTATGGCGACGAAGGCTTTGGCGACGACAACAGAATCTAAAGCGACGAAACTATGGCGACGAGACCTATGGCGACGACATGCCGTCTCAGGGGGTACAGGGACGACTTTTGCACCCTATGGTGACGACTTTCGTCGCCCCCATAGGTCTTTAATATTGTAGTGTTAGAAATTCCCCCACCAAAAAAAAGCATCAACGCCTTCTTGCTCCTTAGATTCTAACTGGAAACCACTTGCTCGCAACATTGTGGCTTCACGTCGATCTTCATATCCTTATATGCTAGCATTTAATTTATATTTTTACCGATGTGGGATTGGGTTTGCATCCCAACAACCCTCCCCTCAAACCCAAGGTTCATCAAATCCAATCCTTTTTCATACATCTGATACTCTCAGGACACACTCACCTGACCTGGGGCCATTAGGAAGACTTTCGATACAAGGCTTCAAGATCAACTTCGTTGGACCGGGAATTATCGAGGATTGCGCCACCTATACCAACCATATCATCTGGGCTTCGTAGCTCTGATACCATTTGTTAGGATCGCCACTAACCCGACCATACTCAACATAGAAGAACAACAAGGTTTTATTTTCTAAAAGTAATTGGTGATGAAAGGGATTACCCATTGCCTTATATGCTAGAATATAGTTTCTCTCTTTATTGATGTGGGATTGGTTTTGTTTCCCAATAGTTCCTACCATTTCCAATTCCAGAATTCATATGATAGAGTTTTAAAGGATGGTGGCGATAGCTATCACACAGATACAACCCTGTCTAAGTAAAGACGATGATTAACATTTCTTTTGTATGCCTTGGATCATTTTAAACATAACACATTGATCTAGTTGTACACTAAGTAATAGCAGCGACACAATTAGCGGGTAGCGGTGACTTCGTTAAGTGGTATTAGCAGCAACAAAAAAAGATAGGGGTGGATTTAAAATCCTATGTCGTGTACTTTCTAACATACGTTTTGTAGATCACAAGTGTTTCTATACAATTTTTGTTGTTACCAAAAATTAATAATAATAATAATAATAATAAGGGAAATTTTTGATATAGTCCTAATATTTTGGATCAGTTTACGATTTAATCCTAACATTTAATTTTATACAATAATATGTCATTTTCTGTTGGAAAAAATAATGATTGTTTTGTTAATTTGGGCAAAATATAAAATAATCAAGAGTTTTTTGTTTAAAAAATAAAAATTAAGATTAAACCGTAAACTAACCCAAAATATTAGGACTTCATCGGAGATTTTTCGTTATTATTATTATTATTAGTTTTTTGTAACAGCAATAAATTGTATAGAAACACTTGTCAGGTGCAAATCGCATGTTAGAAAGTACACGACATAGTAGATGGCAGAATATCTAAAGTTTATCAAAATCAATGTTATCAAATGTGAACTTGGTTAATGAAAACAATATTTTGCCAAAATAAATAAATTAAACTAAATTAATTGACACATATCACTTTGAGCATTATGAATTCAACAAACCAATAGGTTACCCAAGAAGAAAAAAAAGGTAAAGCTGAAAAAAGAGAATAAATCTTTGCTTATGTGCCAAGGTATATAACACATGCCCCATAAGCTTCAAAAAGTTACTCTAAAATCATATATTATATATGGGACAATAAGATTGAAACACAAAACACGAATACGAAGAAAATGAGGAAGGCAACGACGGGAATATTAACATTATTTTTGGTATGTCTTCACCTTCATGCATCCTCAAATCCTTCAAAAATTGTCCATGGTACTGGAACATTGTCTATCCCTTTCATTTTTGTTCTTATCTTCGTTACAAAGATTCAAAAAACTACATCTGATAAGGTACAATTTATGTTATGTATCTTTAACATTTGTCAGGGGGAGTGAACTATGTTAATAGACGTGGAGGAGGTGGCGGTCATGGTGGTGGTGGGGGTCATGGTGGTGGTGGTGGTGGTCATGCCCATGGTGGTGGCAGTGGTGGTGAGGCTCATAGTGTTGGTTCAAGAGGAGAAAGTGGAGGTGCAGGGCCTCTTGTTATACCTGTATATGCAGGGGGTGCCCACCGGAAGACTGGAACCCACCATGGTCGGAACAATAGCAGTTGCGCTATTCCCCAGTTGACTTCTACTATATTGGCCTTGTTCCTTTTATTATGTCTTTAGGATCACTTCGTTACTATGGCTGTGCATTGTAGTTAAAAAACAATAAATATTTTGTTTTTAAATTTTAGGGATCTTCATATTTACTTCTTTTATATATAGAAAATACGCCCACACTGATCACATGAGTAACTTTAGGGAGAAGTCGTTCTTTTCTTTCTTGAATATGTAAATGTGAGAGAACATTGTAATAGACTAGTAGTTAAATGATACGTGTGTGGGAATGAACATCATTACATATATATACAATTTTTGTTTCATTGAGCATTTGATTAAAGGCTTATATATTGCTAGGTCAAAAGCTTTTTATTTTTTATTATTTTTTTATGACAGGGTTAGCAGTTAGCAGTTAGTATCACGAGACCGTCAACATCTGTAATAAAACTGGAGACCTCCAGCTTAAAAGGCAAAGCCTCTACCAAATAGGCTAGATTTTTTATTATTTTTTTATGACAAGGTTAGCAGTTAGCAGTTAGTATCACGAAACCGTCAACATCTATAATAAAACTGGAGAACTCCAACTTAAAAGGCAAAGCTTCTACCAAATAGGCTAGTCCACGTTGGCGTCAAAAGCCTTTTATGAGATTGATTTAATGATTTAATATTAATTTCACGTTATTAATATAAAGGCAATAAAATGATTTAATATTAATTTCACGTTATTAATATAAAGGCAATAAAGTCATCCTACTTTTGCTTTTGCGAAAAAGACCATTATATGTTTATTTTTGCATAAAAACCATTTTTGTTTCACAGATTTCTCAAAAAATATAAAAATTACTGTTTTATCGTGTCAATTGCGATTGCAAAGGGGATACGTGGATTTTTAATTAAGGGCAAGTGGCGAGAAAGTCATGGTAATTGGAAACTTTGTGGGAAAAAACAACTTAGCTAGTTTCAGTAACATTCTAAATACAATACGTAGCTACTCTCTATTGTCGGTTTGGTATTTACGATGATGGAATTAATTAGGGTGTTTAAAAGTGGATATTCGAAAATTCCAGATGGTTGATATCAATATCCGAACACATATTCAAAATTTCAGATACTTATCATATTCAAAATTTTAGATACGTATTCATGGTCATATGTGTATAAAAGTAAAAAATTAAGTGACTAAACATGTAAAAAAAACATAAATGATTATATATATATATATATATATATATATATATATATATATATATATATATATATATATATATATATATATATATATATATATATATATATATATATAGGGGTTGAGATCGGTTGAGAACTCAAAGTTCCCCGAGAACCCGAGAACTAAAAGTGGAGCGTTGGATCAAAAGTAATTCGTTAAGGACATAATCGTCATCTTACCAATCTCATTTAATGTTTAATTTTTTGTATTATTTAATATATTAATATAAATATCTAAAAATTAACAAAATAACTCAAAATTTCAGATTTATTTTTTTTTTTAAATAATAATTTTCGGTTTTTTTAAAAAATGAAGATTTTTTAATTTTTTTCAAAAAAAATGATTTTTTTTAAAAACTGCATCTTTTTTCAAAAAAAACTGCATTTTAAAAAAAAGCATTTTTTTTTAAAAAAATAGCCTTTTTTTTAAAAAAAAACTGCATTTTTTCTAGAAAAAAAACTGTATTTTTTTTCAAAAAAACAGCATTTTAAAAATTAAAAAAAAAAAAAAAATGCAATTTTTATAAAAAAGTGCAATTTTTTTCAAAATGCATTTTTTTAACAAAAACATCAACGTTTTAGGTGCATATATGCATATTTTTTCAAATGCATATATGCATATTTCTTATACTATAATATTCGTAAGTAAATTATACAAAATCTCATTTTTATTAATCAATCTATAAACATAATACAAGTATTTTATTCGATACAAAATAAAATATAAAAAAACTACAAAGATTCACAGTGTTATCATTTCTTCATATCAAGATTTCTATATTTTCTTCAATTTATCACTTTTCACATCTTCAATATTTTTAACAAATTCTTCAAAACCTACAAGAAAATTTAAAAAAAATTGATTAATGCAAGAACACTCAGAAAAATGCATAAGTATATATCATGTAAGATTCACATGTGATTATATCATGTAAGATTTAAATGTTATTATATAATATGATATTCACATTTGATTGTATCTTTTAAGATTAAAATGTGAAATTCACAAGAAAATTAAAAAAAAATAATTAACAAAGACCACTCACACAAAATGCATGTGTGCATATTTACGTAATTCATATGTGATTCACTATTGATTTACATGTGAATCACATGTAATTCATATGGTATTCACTTGTGATTTACATGTGAATCACATGTAATTGATATGTGATTCACTTGTGAATTACATGTGATTAATATGTGAATTACATGTAATTTATATGTGAATCATATATGAATTACATGTGATTTACATGTGAATCACATTAAATTCATATGTGAATTAGATATTATATACATGTAAGTCACATGTAATTCATATGTGATTCACTAGTGATTTACATGTGAATCACATGTAATTCATATGTGATTCACTTGTGATTTACATGTGACTCATATGTGAATTACATGTAATTCATATGTGAATTACATGTAATTCATATGTGAATCACTTGTGATTTACATGTGAATCACACGTAATTCATATGTAAATTACATGTGATTTACATATGAATCATGTGTGAATTATATGTGAATCACATTCAATTCTTATGTGATTTACATGTGAATCACATGTAATTCATAATTACATGTGAATCACATGTAATTCATATGTGATTTACTTGTGATTTACATGTGAATCACATGTAATTCACATATGAATTACATGTGATTTACTTATAACCGTCACACCATGATTCAGACAAATACAAAAATTCAAGAAAATTCGAACATGAACCATTATCAATTATGATTGACCTGATAGAAGAGTTGTTGGATGACACTTTGAATCATATCCACATGGAGATCCTTGTTCTTCTTCCGAGTCTTGTTCTTCCATTTTTACAGTTGAGTTCTCATGCATATATCATTATATATTGCACTGCTTCCCGTGAATGCAATCTGTAAAACATGCTTCCTTCCATGCATCTCGAAAGGCCTGTTATGTAACATACATGAAAATAAAAAGAATCCCCTTAATGACTCCATCAATACACTCAAGAAAGACTATATATGTATATTCACCTTTGTATCATCAGAAACTCCATCTCCAACAGCACCAAAGCTATCAACATTCATAAGAACCCTGACACCACGTTCATCACCTGACCATGATGGCAAGTCAGAATCATCTTCTATTTTTAAACTTTTATCCTCAAGCATGTCCAAGGAGTCCGAAAAATTGCTTTCTGCATACTCACAAACCAACAATAGAGACAGAGAAAGAAAAGAAATAAATACAAGAGTGATCATGATTTTGTTGTTGTTTGTTTAGATTAAATCATGTTTTGAGTCACTCAATAAGCCTCAAAACAATCTTTCAAAGTCCTTCTATGAGAATTGGTGGTGGAAGAAATCCAAGTACCTATTTGTGTAACCTACTTTGTTTTCCACCAAATATTTTGTACCTTGATGAGTGGGTTGTGAGTGGGATGATATTTTTATTGTTTGACATGCCACGTCTGTTAAGAGGCTAATTTTTACCCTTATGGGTGTTCTTAGTGATGGCTTAATGTGTTAAGTGGTCAAAAAGCCTTTGAAATCCAAAGCTGGAAAATTCAGCAAAAATTACAAATCTATCCCTGTATTGGAAAAATTATAGAAAAATCACTAGGAATCGAATTAATGATCCGTAAATTTTCAAAGTTTCCATTTTGAATCTAGTTTATCCATTAATTTTCCATAACCTTTTGTTGCTTCTAACTTAGGTGAAAATCACATTTTTCACCAGCTGGTCAGAATTTAGCTGCATTGATAGGCAGTTTTGTAAAAATCATATAAAATTTTAGAAAAATCGTTTGGACCTTCAAAAGTACATTCTGAAAAGATAAGAGTCTTAACTTCTGGAATATGAAATAAAAACGGAAGTTATATAGGTTTCAAGTGTGCTAAAACAGCTTTAAACAGTAGCTGTTTGGGGTCCAAAACTGAGAATTTTAATTGTTAGTTGATTTAGGTGTTTGATAATTTGTATAACACAATACTTTATTTGATTGTAAGACATAATCCTACTTTTGAAAGCCACGTAAGATAATATATATATATATATATATATATATATATTATATATATATATAGAGAGAGAGAGAGAGGTTATTGTAAATGCATATAATTAACTGCGATCATTTTTCATCATGCTTTGATTGTCATATCATTACAATGCTGAAATGAGTTAATTTGGAAACACTTTTTTCGAAACATATTCTCATTAGACAGAGATATAGTCAACACATAATTTTTTATAGTAAACTTCGTTTGTAATCAAACGATGATATGCATTTACAATAACCATTGCAGTGACAGCAGGCAATAAACACATATGATTTCGATTACTGAAATCAGGGGGAAAAGGAAACTCGAGAGCATGCAATTGAATGCAGTTGAACGAAAACAGTAACGCATACATCTAAAATTTGCAGACATCATACAGATTTCGATTTCAACAAACACATATGATTTCAATTTCAACTGAAATCAAGGGAAAAGGAAAATCTAGAGCAGGCACAGTTAAACGAAAGTCGGATGAAGAAAACCGCACCTGAATCGAATAGAATCTGTGGTATGCAACGGTTGTCGGTGTTGTTGTGTCGCACCCCCAAACCAGAACGGCGGAAACGTTCGGGGGCGGAGGACTTTAGGTAAGTATCACAACACATGTAACATAGTAATCAAAGTACAAACAACCATTGCATTAATAAGTATAAGTTTTACATAAGTGTTTTAAACATTACATATTCAAACACTAAAGTAGGTACAGCAGAAGACAAGAGTCGCGGTACGGTACTAGGTAATCTTCTCAAAAGCTTCGGGAGTGTACCTGTCTACTGGATTCCTGAGAATACAAGTTATTTGAAAAGAGTAGATCAACATTTAAGCTGGTGAGTTCATAAGTATTTTAGTTCTGTTAAGTATACCCTAAGTTCTTTGAATAAGTTCACTGGTTTCTCCAGGAAATCCTATATCTCCTGAGGTGATTAATTGATAACCTCAATAGTTCCCCTCTGTAATTACCTAGTTTATACTGATTATACATATCATAATATCGAATTGACAGTCAACTGGGTGTATCTGCCCTAAGCCCACAACCAAACAA